CTTGGGCAGAGGAATGGGACTGGGGGAATGTGTGGAGTTAATTTTTGGCATGCCTACCAAAAAGGTTGGCCTCCCACAGAATTACTTCTAACATTCAACCATTGTGCCAGGCTGGAGCAACACTGCCAACTCCTCTGCGCATGTGTGCTTAACCCTGATAGCTCTCCTTCTCCCACCCAAGCAGATCCCTTTCATGTTAAGTGGGCTGTTATTAACTGCCTGATCAGTTTACACCAGCTGCAGACAGGCAAATTGCCTAAGTCAAACACTGAGAGAAAGGGGCCGGCCTGGAGACCTCTGTCAAAGAAGTTTAGAGGTATAGTGGCAATTAATTACCCTGTGGAATCCAGTGAACTGGCACCCTAGGAGCAGCCAGAGTATTCTTAGAAGGATTAACCTCAGTAAATATTTAGATATTCTTTGCCAGCACTTAATGGGGGGAGAAGTTATAGGAAATCTAAGATTGGTACAGAAATAGCTGTAGGAGGAAAGATCATTAGGGTCTGACTCTTCTCCCTCCCCTTGAAACAACAAAAGACCAATGTCCAGCTTTAAGAGAAACATCTGTGCTCACAGCAAGCTGGTGCTGCTGAAGGCCAAGAGTGTTCAATGCAAACAAGCTGTTCTAATTCTACTGGTCACCTTTTCAGTCCTGGTAACCTCATTCTTAAATGAAAAACTCATTCTTAAAATGTCACTTTTGGCCAAAGCGGCTTTCTGAGTGTCTAAAAACAAGACAGTGGCAGAACTGACATTTGCCTTAACTATCAAACTAAAGAACTAGGTTCACTAACCCCATCGTGCAATAGGAAAAGAGACTTCATAACGGCGTGTGCTTTGTTAAAATTTTTTGGCATATCTTGATTCTACCCTTTACCCCACCCAAACGTCTACTTAAATGTTTGTTACCTTCGGTCTTTGACAGAGATGCAAAAGAATGTGAATAGAAACATTGTCATCATACTATTTTCATTTGGACATATCTTGTCTGTACTTCAAATCTATTTCTGGCTGTCCATTGATGTCTCAAAGTTGTGGCCTTCATGCACTCAATATTTTAATTATTGTGAATCTTGTCACTTTCAAGAGTTTTGGCTGATTATCTATTTGTAGATCAATAGGGAACCCATTTTCAGGTATTAAACCACGGGTTATAAATTATTTGGCTGGAGGGCCACTTAATGAGTTTTGGTGTCCTCTTAAGGATGGACCACACTTCTTTCTCTCTCTCTGTCTCGCTCACTCTCTCTCAGATCCCCACCCCACCAAAAGTGCAGCTTGCCCCAATCCCCATCCCGCCCAGAGCTGCAGCACATACTGATCCCTACGCTGCCTGGAGCTGTAGCATGCCCCGATCCCAACCCAGAACCTGCCAGCCATGTCCACAGCTTATGCCAGCACCTGCCCAGCATGCCAGAAGCAGCACTGTGCAGGCGCTGGCACCAGCTCTGGATGGACTGGTAGGTTGCAGGTGGGGATTGGGGTATCTGCCTGGGTCCACAGCTGATGCTTCCTCATCGGTTCTGGGCAGAAGCAGTCCTGCCTGCCCAGCACAGTGGAAATGGCCCACCCAGCTGGCACCACACAGCAGCTGGCATCAGAGCCCATGGATGCCCCATGAATGCCCATGAGTTTGCAATCGCCTGCCCGCCAGATGCAATCGGTTGGTGGGCCAGATCCAGCCCATGGGCTGTATTTTGCCCACCCGTGTATTCAACTGACCGCTAAAGTTTTATTAACATTCCCGGGGGGTTCTTATTGTGACCTAATTTTTTTTTTGGCTAAAAATTTATTCTGAGCGTGAGCCTAAAAAGATTGGTCATGAAAATGGTCTGTTTTTACTGAGGTTGTCTGATTTGAAAATAAGAGGCTTCTATAGAAAGACCACCACAATCTTCCCTATAGCATGTGTTTGAAAGATTGTGTTTTTCCTACAGAAGCCAGTTAACCAGCCCTGCTAACTTGCTTTAAATGATTTTATTTGAAGTGAAGCTATTGAATGACTGAAACTTAATCCTTAAAATTGAAAACCCCAACTGCTTCTAAAAACAACTCTCTAATCTTTGGTGTTTTGGAAGTTAGCTTTGTTTGAGGCACAGGATTTTGGAGACCTCAGTGTTAACTGTACCCAGCTGTAGTCCTGCACTGCCTTAATGTCATTTGAATGTGCTTTTAGTATTATAGTTTTTCCTTTGAATAAATATTTGTGTTTGTAGTTTCAGACGTAAAAAAATAATAGAAAAGGCTTATTTAAACCCAAGGCAACAGTAACTAAATGTATGTTTCTCACCCTGCTGTGCACAGAAAATTATATTGAGTGCATTTCAAGCAGTGTTAGTGGTGTCTTGATGGTGGAGCTGGGGAAATCAGGTACAACTAATAGGATGTGTCTACATGGGCAAATAATGCAAAACTAGTTTACTCTAGAATAAACTATCTTGGGCACATGTCTACACTTGCAGGGACACAAGAGCAGATTTGCTGCTCCTAGCACCAGACTGCTCCCACACCCTGCACGGGGCCCCTGCAGCAGCCAGGGGGAGCTCTAAGGTCTGCAGTCACAGGGCTAGCACTGGGAGTCTTCTCTCCCAGCACCAGCTCTGTGGACATGGGGCCAGTGCTGGGAGACAAGAATCTCCCAGCACTGTCCCCGTGACTGCAGAGCGGCACAGGGAGACAAGAATCTCCCAGCCCCCACTACCTAATCGCGACTGGAAAGTGGGGGCTGGGAGCTCCCTGCTGCCAGGGCAGGGGACATTGTCCCCATCTGGGCTCCAGTGGCAGCTCCCGGGGGCAGGGAGCAATCGCCTGCTGCCCAGCTGACCAGGAGCACATTTGCTCCCAGTTGGCCAACTACATGTGGTCCCAGTAAGTAATCTAGAATAAATTTGTTACTTGTATTTACAGGTAGCAAATTTACTCGTGATTAGAGCAAATTACTGCACAGTAAGCATCTGCATGTGTAGACGGTGACACTTACTATGCCGCAGTTAGCTCTAATCCCGAATAAAGCATCTCATGTAGACATGCCCTTAGAGGGGTAAGAGGTGTTTGCTGCAGTGCTAGAACAATACTTGGGAAAGCTTAGGAAAGAAACTTAGCAATAAACTGACAAGGATGCCCCTGTGGCTAAGGCGGTGGACTGGGATTCAGGAGACCTGGTTTCAGTTTCTGGCTCTTCCTTTATGACTTGAACATACCACTTGGGGTAAGGTTGGCACTTTAGAAGCCAGGCCAGAAAAACCTGTCACAAAATGGGAGGGGCAGATGATGGTAATAGGAGGGTTAAGGAAATGCAAATGGAACTTTTGAACAAGCAAATATTAAGTGGGATATTTTAGGTATGTTATGACAGAGACAGTTTTGGGGCTGTGAGAGCCTGCTCAGTTTTTGCAGCTTGACCCTTGGTCCACTTCCCTTTGTGTTTTTCCATCAGTGAAATAGGGGTGGCCATACTGCTTGGTCCCATTCCCTTTGTCTCTCTTGACTATTAAAAGCTTTTTTATAGCAACTGTCTTCACCAGGTTGTTAGACAATCTCAAGCTCAGGCCTCTGTTGTGCTGGGGCTAGTAGCTGCTGTGGTTTAGAAGAGGTTTAAAACAGTGCGTTTTTAATCCTTCTCTGTCCCCTGAAGCGAACTGTATCTGGACATAGGAGAAAACAGCAGCCTTTGGCTCAGCCATGTGCAGTCATCACTTCAGAATATGTTGCTACTTAGGCAGAGCTGGATCCTGAAGTGCTCTGTTTATCCAGGTAACTGGGGCAATATATGTTTCCCCAACAGCTCACTTAGGTGACATGGAAAGACCTGCCCTTTCTGTATGAAAGGTTAGTTCATTTTCCATGGCCCATTCAGGCTGATGTCACAACTGGAAATCTCATCACTGCCAGTGGTTTGTGTGGTATGGACACCCAACCAGCAGGGCCAAACAACCCTCGGGAGGTGATGACATTCCGTTGCTACCAATCAAGGCTGGGTTTGTGCTGGCGACCTGGAAGTGAAAGGGCCCTCTGTCCCAGCTTGAATTCTCTGCTCTCTTGAGCTGTGGTTTCAGCTGCTCTCCTGCTGAGCAGCACTGCTTGCTAAATATAAATGGGAAATTCCACTGGAAATCAAAAGCTGCTTTTTGTAGAACCATCTGAACCTCCTCAAAGGAGGCTGAATGATTGAAAGGTCACCACATTGGTACCACTGAGAGGAAAGTTTGGTGTCAGAAGTACTCTGCTTTATATCCTTAGCAGTTGGAATATGGTTCGTTTTATAGCTTATTCAATACCATGTCCTTTACAGCTAGATGACTGTTTTGAAAAGCATTCTGAGGCCTGTCACTTATTTCAGACAATTACCGTATGTCCTCGCATAAACCAGCCCCCACCACCTCACAATAAGGCACACCCCTCCTTCTGGGAAAGACAAAATGAAGAAAAAAAAGATGTTTACAGGGTTATGATTGCATGGAGCTGGGCCTGATCTTCAGCTGACTCACCCTTCCTGTCCTGCTTAACTAAAAGCTGAAACCCTAACTGCTGCTGAAGACTGGTCTCCCTGGGTGCATCAGTGATTTTTTTTAAAAGAGCAAAAGAGTCTCCAAAACTGTGAAATAGAAGAGTGGCCAGAGCAGCTAGCAGAAAGCAAAATTGCAAGGTTAGATTGATTAGTGAAATATTAAGACCATTAAAAATGAGAGAACAGGACACAAAATGGTGATCTATCTAGTCAAGGACTTTTCTCACCTGGCTTATTGAGCTGAACTTATTATGATCATGACATATCTATCTCCAGCAATTTCGAAAGCATGCCACGAAGTGTGTGTGTGTACTGAAGAGAGGCTCTGAAAAAGAAAGTTGAACGTACACAGGAGGTGCATATTAAGTGCAGTGGTGTTTACTTGTAGGAACAGGTATTGTTACCAAAACAGTTTACTGGGGGTGTTCTTCAGTATGATGCTCTGAACATTTAAGATTTACCTCTAAGAAGTGGCTTTTCTTTCTTTTAACAGATTACAACAGCAGCGACCTAAAAACAGCTTGCAGAAAGCATGAGCTTTATGTTAGCTTCCAAGACTTAGGATGGCAGGTGCGTGCAGTTTCTCTTTAAGCAGACATTCATTCTGAAATGTTATCTAAACAATGTCATGGTAATTTCAATAAAGGCTCCCAGTACCCTTTTTAAAATGTCCTTTGTACCTCCACACTAAAACCAGGCACTGGGGAGGCCAAATAAATATTGATAGCCTGGGAAACTCCTGGAACCCACAGGTAGTTGGGATTTTTAAGATGCTTAAATGTGCAATCATTTTTCATAGTTCCTGGAAGGCAGAGTAGTGCTGAAGCCTGCATAAGGTTATTTAGCTAGATCCAATTCTGTGTCCAGCGTGCATGCATATGCATACATGCTTGCACTGGTCTGAACTGCTATATGGACACCTTCATGTCATTTTGTAGACAAGCTGCAAAAGCTAGTGATTCTGGCATGTAAGGTGTATACCACAGCTTCTTCCTGTAATCTGTGAAGCCAAAGGACAAGAGAGGCAGAAACTGAGCCCCCGAAACTTGGCCTGGCTTGCTGCAGTGATGGGTGGGGTGAACTGTAAAGACTGCTGCTTCTTCCTATAGTATAGCTGTTTACAGACTCATGTTGACATCACTGCATCCATTTCATTTAGTTCATAGTTCAACCTTTTCTTTGGGAGGCAGAGGGATACAAGGCTGCTTTGAGATATGAAAACTTTTCTATGCTGGTTGTGTGATGCTAAGACCCAATCCCCTATGCCTTAAATGCTAACTGGACTTATGTCTGAACTGCCCTGGGGGAGGCAGAGAACAAACCATCAGAGCATGCTTGACCATCCTCTTCTGTATTACAAGTGCCATCTCAAATTTAAGAAATGTTTGGAAGACCATCACTACTTTTATATACTTTGAGCCCAAGGTTTAACTGCAAATATATTCTTGGCAATTAAGCAGCTAGGAGTCAAAATTTAGAAACAGCTCCTAGAACATCTGTAAATGTCCTTTTTAGGCAGGTACTGTGTATGGTGTACCTACAATTAAATTGTATGTGGTACTGTTAAGATTTCTACAGCACCCACCTCTCAACTTTCTTGATTCCTGTATTTAAATTCAAGGTCTGTAGTTAATTTTGGTGACAGTCAATGTTAAGATGCTTTCAAGAAGTGACAGTCAGTCCAGCTAAACTAAAGTACCATTGTTGCCAGTATATAACTTGACTCTTTTTTTACATTGTGAGCTCTAAAGCAAACATTTAGGTAGGAAGCAGCAGTTTTTTGTATTCCAAACCACATTTCTACAGAGGCAGGGGAATACTGATCATTCTTCTACAGTACTATAATTATGTGCTGCTACTTTAATATGCCAGGTGTATCACCCTTACTTTTATAAACTGGCAGTTCTCAAATATTATAATCAGGATGATACCAAAAGGTAGTCAGAAAAGATGTTTTGAGGGTGCTTTTTGGGGGTTGGTTGAGTGTTTGAGAAGGTCACATAAAATTAGCCTTTTATGGACTAATTCTGGTAAAAGTATTTTAGATAAAACCCAAAATGTTCAAGTTGGTGCCTTGGTGCCTACATGAACTGTATGTACAGCTGCCTTCTGCTCTGGTACTTATCTGGAGGAGCCGCCTAGCTGGGCTGAGTTGTTCAGCTGTGCTAATTTCTTCCTTCTCTTGATGAGGAGAGGGAGGCTGGGTTCTTAGCAATCCTTGCTGCTGTGGTTTGTTGTGAGAGCAGGACCACAAAGTGCTCAAATGAAAAATCCTGTGAGTCACCCCACTGCCCATTTTTGAAACCCCCCAAATTTTGGTTTACAGCCAAAATGGGGTGGGTCTTTGGCCTTCACATTTCCTAGACAATTTTTTGTACTCTAACCCTATTCACAAAAAAGTTAATGGAAAACTTTAGCTAGGCCTAATGGTTTGTATAAATGACATTATGCAATCTATTACTAACATGCACCTTTAACTTATGTCACTTAAACCATATCTGTTTACTTCCTAACAAAGGACTGGATAATTGCACCAAAGGGTTATGCAGCCAATTACTGTGATGGAGAATGCTCTTTTCCACTCAATGCGCACATGAATGCTACCAATCATGCCATTGTGCAAACTTTGGTAAGTACTATGAAAGATGTGTGCTGAGCTACAGGAAAAAAAATGGAGAGCAGGGTCTGACTGTCCCAATTATGTCTTCTTTTTTGGAACAGGTCCATCTTATGAATCCTGAATATGTCCCCAAACCCTGTTGTGCACCCACCAAACTAAATGCCATCTCAGTTCTTTACTTTGACGATAATTCTAATGTCATTCTGAAAAAATACAGGAATATGGTGGTAAGAGCTTGTGGGTGTCACTGACATCTTCCACACAGACCCACTGAGTCACCTGGAACTCCTTGGTTACATCTACTCGATGTTGGAGAAACTCCAACAAACACTCTTGTGACACTCCCAAACCAATACTTGTGCCTTATGAGAGGAAACTGCAAGAGAACCTCACTGATACCTACCTACTTTGTAACAGGAGAAAGTGTTGGATTTGTCAAAAACAGAATCTATAAGAGTGGCCATTCTGATCTACAAAATTTTGACTTGTGGAGTACAAAAGAAAAGTCTGCCCATACAAGTTTTGTTGGCTTGGATCAAGCTCTGTGCAGTCTTAAACTCCCTGGAAGAGCAGCAGAAACTTAACTAGCTGCTTGATATGCACTTCAGTGTTAAGAAACCACCATCTGCTACATGGAAACAGTGAGACTTGAAGACGCACATACTATATTTAGGTTCACCAAGACAAAAAGCAAAGTGATGTTGTCGTACTTTAGTGTTAGGACTGTGTTTTATGCTGGATAATCTGAATTTCTAATTAAGGATAGGAAGTGCCTTCCATCTAAAATTATTGCATCTCTGATTGAACTCTTCCTAAAATCTGGAAGATGGGAAACAGCTGCTTCAATTGTGTCAAAGCAAGCCCCTCAAACCATGTGTCCTCCAACCACACAGTAAAGCATAGACTTAAACTGTATGTTCCGAGTCTGGCTGTACTATGTATTGCATACATAAAAAGAATCCCAGACCCAACGTGATCTTTTGAGTCAAAAGTTCAACTGGGGAATTATCTTGTAAACTTGTCTAGTGCCTTTTTTTTTAGGTTCTATACCTCCTGAAACTGCTACGTCTGTCCCTTTTGTATTGCAATGACATCCACTGCCTCTCACATATACCGCCAGGGTATTTTTGTATGATTTTAGGTGCAATTTATCCCCTCAGCTGAATAGCCACTCCATTGCTGAAGGGGTATTTTTTTGTAAGCTATCTATAGCAGAGGTTCCCAACCGGGTTGGCTGCCGGACCAAAAGTGACGGGCATACCGAGGACTGGCAGCCAGCCCTTTTTTATGCTAAGTATAAAAAAGGGTTGGCTGCCGGTCTGCAGTACGCCCGTTACTTCCAGACTGCAGTTTGCCAGTCCCAGTTGCTTCCGGTCTGTGGTTTGCTGATCCTTGATCTAAAAAGGTTGGGAACCCATGGATCTACAGTATTATTTGGCCAATCTCCCCAAACGTCACTCTGTAACAAAAATCGCATTGAAAAAGTTAGATATATTCACATTTTGGCTGTGCTCCAACTATAGAAGTTTTATGCCCAAAATTTACAGTAACAGCTAGTTATTTTTGATCAATATTAACCCTGTATTAAATGCACTTACCTCTTAAGTCTTGCATTTAAAAGAGGTGTTTTGTAAATACAAGCTATAATTTATTGCACTTGTCACTGTATATTCATTGTGCTGTATCATTTATAGAAAGACAGCTTTTTTTAAAAAAAGTTTTTATTTAGAAAATCTCAGTGTAAACAATTGTACCACTTTGATTTTATACAAGAAACTCATGAGGCAAAGGTTGGGCCACTCATGAGATTGTGCTTCACTAGAAATGTTGTTTTGTTTAATATGGTTAATAAAGGCTTCCTTTTAAGACAGAAGCGTACACTCTGATCGAATACATCTGCCATATAAGACTGAGCTCTTATTGTAAACTTTCCACCTGTACATTTTTCATTCTTGACAGATAGCATAAGGTGAAGTGTCAAAGGAGTAATTTAGCGATTAAAAAGGTGACTTTCACTGCTCCATATGATGGACACAAAGTGTCTTGACTTAGTCAAGCGCTGCATGTAGACACCTGTAACCGAGTTTCTGTACATGTGGGAGGGCAGCATTTAGCCCTTGATTTGCAGCTGCACCTTTTTCCTGCATTAAGTTCTTTGGCTTATGTCTTAACATATGGAACATCTTACATCAGTAATTTCATTCAAGGCAACACAATGGGAAAGGCTGTAGCATTCATATGAGAAGAACAATGACATTTTGGAAGAGATGCTTAAGGCTCAAAAGGAACTGGAAAAATGTTGTCTCTCAGTAATGAGAATCAGAACTTGTCTACAACTGCTTAAAAACTAAAGCATTGTTCCTACTACATTAAGTAGTAAAAAATAAGCAGCAGGAGGGGAGATGAATTCAAGATCTTAGGGCAAGTGAGTTTAACAAATATGGTACAGAAACCAGAACTGTTTCTAAATGCATTTCTGCTTTTCTAGGAGATGTCATCAGCTCTAACCGATCAATTTTTCCTAAGGAAGTTAGTTACAATAGTTCGTTCATTTTAGCTCCATGTAAAAAGAGCATAAACTCAAGTCTCCAGCTAAACAGGAGTATCCTGCTTGAACAGTTATAAAAATCCGCCTGATATACATGTACACTATGGCATCAGTAATATTCAGGCACGTATTAAAAGTACCATTACTTTCATTATGGCTAGACCTCCCAGGATGAGAGAATATTACCAGGAAATGAGAAGGTAATAATGGCCTGGTATCTTCCAAATGTGTGTGTGTTTTCTTTCTCAACCTCCTATAACTTTCCACTTCTTAATCAGCAGCTATATTAAAACAAATGAAGTTTTTAGATTCAGTTGAAAAGGCAGTGTTTGTTAATATAGCTGTGGCTTTCACCTTTCTAGTAACGGTGGGAAGTTTGTAAGGGGTACTTGGGTAGCAAGCTTTTAGCCAAATCCAACCTGAAGACAAAAATAATCTACCAGTTCCCTTAATTTGATTTTCCTCATCTATTTTAGTCTCAAAGAAAACCATTTACACTTCATCACAGGAAGACAGAAATGCACTAATACAACTGATGCTAAAAATATTCTCCAAGTGGACAGTAACTATTTGTTAAGAGTTTTCCTCAACAAACATCACAAGAGTCAGTACAGTGGTTTTAAAGCGCGCGCACACGCACACACACACACACACACGGAAGATACCACAGTTCAGTACATTTTCCAAAAAAAAAAATATTCGCAAATCAGTACTATGGACGTGATTTAACTCCCACAGCTACTGTACAAGAACAGCCAAGGCAGAAGTATCCAAACGTGTTTTACAATTCATCCCTTGCCTGCCGCAAGACAAAATTATGCAGCGATTTAAGATCTCTGGCTCCGTTGTGTTCACTGACTTTCTGTCCACCTCGGAAGAGCAAAAGTGTTGGATAGCCACGTACCTTTAAAGGAGGGAGGAAAAATAAACACATAACTTCTCAGTTCAGTGACATCATTCTGACACTAAACTTGATTTTGAAAAACCCCAGGGTGTACAGAAGGCTGGGCTTCTTGGTGTAAACAAAACCAGGTTCAAAGACAGCACCACCCCATTACTTTTGAGTGGTAAAATCAGTTAGGAGTAAAGTACCCCTACACACCAGCAGAAATGCCAGCTCTAATGGTCTGTCTCAGAGAAGTAAGGGCAGTATGTTCTTAGAAAAAGTTTTCCCACACAAATGCAATGGCTACTACATTTTTGGAGGGTTTCCCACTAGTAAGTTACAAACTCCTAATCCATCAGTTATGAGTGTGAATAGAATCAAGCACAGTCCAGGACAAACTGAATTTCACCATCCTCACATTGCAGGATTTGGATCAGTGACAGAACAATTCAGCCTACACTGAAGTGTCATAGAATCGCACTGGAAGGGACCGTGAAAGATTGAGTCCAACCCCCCTGCTCTGGGCAGGAATACTGCTGAGATCAAATGATCCCAGCAAGGTGTCTGTCCAGTCTCCTCTTGAAGACTTCCAAGGTTGGAGACTGCACCACCTTCTTGGGAAGTCTCTTCTAGATTCTGGTAACCCGTACTGTGAAGAAGGTCTTTCCTTACATCCAACCTGAAACCATCCTCTACAGTTTATGGCCATTGCTCCTTGTCTTTCCCTGGGATGCCCTAGTGAACAGCTTTTCTCCCAGCTCCTGATATTCACCCCTTATATTCTTATGTTGGAGGGGCCACGTTCTGGAGACTTCTATTTGGGGTACAAGCTTATCTAATTCATTTTAAACCTGTCTTCACACTTACAGAAAATCTGCTGCAGACGTTTTGTTCAGCAGTGCAGTCTACTTTGGCTATTTTGACATCATTCAAACCTGGAAATTGCTCTTTGGAGAGGTTCTCCCAAGTTGGAGCCAAGTTCTTACAGTGACCACACCTATAAAACAAAAAAATAAGTCATTTTTTTAGCAAACATACCTTCCTGCTTAATTGCCAGCATCTTTGGGATATCCATAAACTGTGCTCTAGTTGCCCTTTCCTCCTTCCCTAATATATAGGCCAGAAAACCCTGTGTATGTTTGTGCCAGACTGACAAAGCAAACCAAGGGCATATTTAAAATAAGCTAAGTGATTGGAAAGCTTCTCATTTGTATTTAGTTGCTTCTGGAACAGGATTCAGTGGATTGATGCAATAAAATCTCTCATCCATCAGGAAAAGGTAAAGCGAACAGCAAAGAGACTGCCAATATTTAAAACAAGTTGATGTAATGCCTTACCTTATATTAAACAAACTTTTTGCTGCAACATGATCTGTCAGGCTGTAAAAAAGTTGCAATTAAGGTACTGCCTTGTGTAATATATATCATAACCCCCTTCTCTACAAACTAATCCTATAGTATTGCTTGGTCGTTTAGCAAGTGGTGTGGATCTGCTTTGCTTTTAAAGTCAATTATGATGCAAGGTACACAGCACAAAGTTGATGACTTAATATTTTAACAAGAAAACAGAAGTCATATTTATCTCAACCCACCTCCTTGCTTAAACCCTGGTGTCCACTTTAAAGAGGCACTCATATATTTTAACAGATTTCCCCTTTCCAAATTTAAGCTTTCACCCACTAGTTGCTGTTCTATTTATCAGCTAGATCTGGGAATATAGAATCCTAGACAGTTAGGGGTGGAAGGGACCACAAGAGGTCATCTAGTCCAACCCCGAGCTCAAAGCAGAACCATCACCAACTAGATCATCCCAACCAAGGCTTTGTCTACCCGGGTTCTGAAAACCTCCAAGGCTTGAGCTTGCACCACCTCTCTGGGTAACCTGTTCCAGCGTTTTACTACCCTCCTAGTGGGAAAATTCTTCCTAATATCTATCCTAAACTTCCCTTGCTGCAACTTGAGACCATTGCTTCTTGTTCTGTCATCCGCCACCACTGAAAACAGTCTAGCTCCATCCTCTTTTGAACCCCGCCTTCAGGTAGTTGAAGGCTGTTATTAAGTCCCCTCCGTCTCCTCTTCTCTAGACTAAATAAGCCCAGTTCCCTCAGCCTTTCCTTATAAGTCACATCCCCCAGCCCCCTCACCATTTTTGTTGCCCTCCACTGGACTCCAATTTGTCCACATCCTTTCCGTTGTGGGGGGGCCCAAAACTGAACACAGTACTCCAGATGTGGCCTCACTAGTGCTGAATAGGGGAAATAAACACTTCTCCTTGACCTACTGGAAACACCCCTACCAATGCAGCCCAGGATGCCGTTAGCCTTCTTGACAACAAGGCACACTGCTGGCTCATATTCAGCTTATTGTCCACTGTAACCCCCAGGTCCTTTTCTGCAGAGCTGCTACCCAGCCAGGCAGCCCCCAGCCTGTACTGGTGCATGGGATTGTTCTAAGTGCAGGACTTTGCAGTTACCTTGTTGAACCTCATGAGATTCCTTTTGGCCCAATCCTCCAACTTTTCTAGGTCACTCTGAATCCTAGCCTTACCCTCCAGAATATCTACTACTCCCCCCAGTTTAGTGTCATCGACAAACTTGCCAACGGTTCACTCTGTGCTATCTTCCAGGTTGTTAATAAAGACACTGAACAAAACCCACCCCAGGACTGACTCATGGGGCACTCCACTTGATACCAGCTGCCAACTAGACACTGAGCCATTGATTACTTCTTTCTGAATCCAATGCTCCAGCCAGTTTTCAGTCAACCTTGCATTCCATTCATCCAGTCCATACTTCCTTAGCTTGCCTGGGAAAATGTTGTGGGAAAGCGTATCAAAAGCTTTGCTAAAATCAAGGTACACCACATCCACCCATCTTCCTGTGTCCACAGAGCCAGTCATCTCATCATAGAAGGCAATCAGGTTGGTCAGGCATGACTTTCCCTTGGTAAATCCATACTGACTGTTCCTAATCACCTTCTCCTCCAAATGCTTAGAAATGGATGCCTTGAGGATCTGCTCCATGATTTTTCCAGGGACTGAGGTAAGGCTAACTGGTCTGTACTTCCCTGGATGATCCTCTTCCCCTTTCTTAAATATGGGCACAGTGTTTGCCCTTTTCCAATCATGCGGGAGCTCTCCTGATTGCCATGATTTTTCAAAGACAATGGCCAGTGGCTCTGCAATCACACCAGCACTCTCCAAAACCTTCCTGGATTGCCGGCGCACTGCTGTACTGCCCTCCCAGCAGATGTCAGGGTGAATGAAGTCCTCCATGAGAACCACGGCCTGTGATCAGGAAACTTCCGCTAGCTTTGAAGAAAGCCTCATCCACCACTTCCTCCTGATCTGGTGGTCTATAGTAGACCCCCACCACGACATCACCCTTGTTGCTCGCCCCTCTAACCTTTGCTATATATGCCCTTTGCTATCTACAGAACACACATACTGGGCCATACTCTGATCTTCACTACATATCAGTTACTGTTGTCAAGACACTGTGGATGCTTTAAACCAGCATCTCTAGAGCTATATAAAATGTAAGAATATGGGGTAGAAGGGTCATATTGAAGAACTGACTCTCAAGAAACAGATCTAATGAAATAGGAAAAACAACTACTGACACATTAATTCTGTTATTTTGAGTTTTTATTCTTTAGTGCCTACAATAAAAGAATTCCTAGGCTACACTTTATTATTATTAAAGATGATGGGCTGCTCATTTTGTTCTGCCCCAGATGCACCTAAGTCTGGCCTTTACAGCAGCCTAAAAATATCTTTAGGCTTGATTCAGAGAGAGCACTGACAAAGATAGTGAAGAGTTTATCAGTGCTTTCTTTCTACAAGTTAAAAAACAAGTATATTATTAAACTATTCCATTAAGATTATGCGAGTGTAAAGGCGCTACCGACCACACACAAAAACAATTAAGACAGGATGGGATTGTACTTACCATGCAACCTATGCTAATATTTACCCAAAACAAACTGAGGGGCAGTAAAACTCTACAGAACAGCATTTGCTTAACCCAACACAAATTAGTCCACTTGAGAAAAAAAGATCATTTATATACAGTGAACTATAACTGTATACATATACATGATTTTTCAGGCTAAGAACAGGAGACAAACTATGTAAATATACTGAATTTTTTTCTAAACTACAGCTTTTTGATAGCTGCTGCCACAGAGAATATACTGGTTAAAAAGTTTTTTTTTTAAATGCCCTCTCTCAGTTATTATCTGGCATTCTTTCAGTCAGCCCTATACAACACTACCCCTTCTAGATAAGAACACACTGAAAGTGTCAGGCAATTCTGAAAAGTCCACTATAAAAGGATTTAGTGGATTACATCTTTCCATTTCTTCCCATATTATGCTCAGTAGCATAATATGGAAAACCAGTTCCTAACACTGCAAACCACACCTTGGAATCTATATTTTAACTAGGCTTATTACCCACTATGCATCACCACTTCTGACAGGTTATCCAGGCTAGATTTGGGCCCGTATAATCTTAACATCTTCAGTGACTGAACACAGGTATAACTTGAACTTAATGATTCCACAAGAAATGAAATCCATCTCATTCTCCCTTACCTATGTTGAGTCTACAAGGGTAAAAGAAGTAAAAAGCAATAAACTTATTTATGATCATCAGACCAGCACACTGGTATTTTACAGAACCCAGTGCATGCTAAGCACATGATGAATAGTTTCACTCTAGTTTCAGCAATGACAGAAGAAAGGAGAACAAAAGTAGGTTGAGAATGAGCATTAAAGGCAGCACACGTGGACTTTTCTGTGCATAAATA